AAAGGGTGAGCGGTGTGGACTGCCAGCTGTTTTTCAGGGTTTCCGGCAGAAGGTTGTGCCTCAAACATTTCCTGCTTCCCTGGAAAAGCTGGAAATTTGAGTCTGGGGCCTCCTTCGGCTAATCTGCTCCCCAGAGGTGCCCTCCCTTCCGAAACGGGCCTTGCTCCTTTTCCCTCGAGCAGTGCTTACATTGGTATAGATCTGAGGGACCCGGGAAAGCAGGTACAGAACCGAAGAAGTTGATCCAATCACAAAGCCAAAGATTTCCTTTTTGGTGAAAGGCTGTGGAAGACACAGGCTGTTACGGACGGTTGCAGAAAGATCTCAGCAGGCTTTGTGGGATCCAGAAGGAAAGATGTAGAAGTTATTCACTGGGAAACCTCACTCCAAAGTGAGCTGATCCATCCTTTAGTTTGTCTCTCCCTTGGACCCCCATGCCTTGAAACAGCCCTATATCTCCAGTATCCTTCCCACCCAGGGGGTGTACCTTTAACAATATGTAGTAATTATTTACTTTGGGGAGAAATTTCCCTTGTGAAAGGCAGTTACTCCAAAACCAGTGGAATCCGCAATATAACTTGCATTATCAATGCCAGCCAGGCCCTCTTCCAGGACATTCTTTGCTGGGCATTTCTGGGGCAACTGGACATTTTTGTTGGGGTCTCCAGGGAGGGTCCACTTTGGTAAACTTTAGCATAATCCCAGGCTACTGTTACCTCTCCATCATGAATAACATCACCATTTAGATGGGATTTGCTATTGCATCTGTCTTCCTGTGGATCTTGAATGCCAAGGACCAGCAACTATTACCCAACGCAGCTTGCTCTCTGCAAGAAATTTAAGATCAATTTTGCCTTAAAGAGAAGAACGTGCCTCCCATCCTGACGGGTAGTCCGCAGAGGACAGAAGTCTCCTGCTTTTGAACATCGTTCCATCGCCAAGATGAGAAGAGGTAGATTCCCCCGACCAGGAGGGCACCAACGTTGTTCCCAGGACTATGAGCGCGAAGACAGCATTGACTGAAGCAGAAACTGAGGAAAGAACAGATGTTGGGCAGCGGTTAAAAGTCTGTCTTGTTTTTTTATGTTCCATCAGACAATTGACTAAAAAGGAAGCCAGCTTTTGTGACATCAGCATAATCCTTTTCTGGCAGCCATTTCACAAAGGAGAAACTTGAGCAAACCAGAACCATCCCGCGGCAGTTGGCAGGGAGCGCTCTCACGCCATCTACCTGATCTAAACCTTATGGTGCTTTAACCGATCTGAGACAGAAAGAGACACGACTGGGGAAAATCCAGTTGTTATCTGCAGAGAGGAAGTTGGTCAAAGTAATCCACAGAGTTGTGTTAAAAGCCTAACACGAAGAGTAGAGAGGGTGCCCCCCACGAGCACCCTCTGTTCAAAGGATGTGCATTCCCATGGCAACGTGGAGACCAAGATTTTGGGCACACAGACCACCAATTGTGTGACACGGCTACTAATCTTGTAAAGGCTTGTCATAACGACACTGAGTTACGCTTTGGGTCATGTGCAGAGAGCAATTTCCTTCCCACTAAAACTACTGTCTGCTCTTTTCCTTGGAGACTTAGTTCCGGAAGGAGTGGAGATCGCTCCGTTTTAAGAGCTTCCCATTATAAAAGGGGATAGAAAAACTCTCTGCGTGCCTAGATATAAAGCCAAAATTACCCCCCACGGCTTAGCATCAAAACAGTTCCTTGAATTAAGCCCTGATCTGAACTGAAATCCCGGGGATATTGTGTGGCGAATGCAGGCCGGTTTCAGAAATGGAGATGATATGTTTTGCCCCGGGTGACTCTCTCTCGTCACATTAGTGGATGTCAACTTACAGATTCTGTTTTGATTCTTGATTTTGTAATAGACGTATAAAGAGATCATGAGCAAGTCGGCCAGCACGTAGTAAATGGCGGTGTATACCTAGGGAAGGAGAAAAGAGAAGCTCGGTGAATTCTGGAGTGAAAGAATCACACAACGTCGTCAAGAGAGAGACTATTTTAACCTCTGGAACTCTCTGCTGGAAGAAGGGACTAAATCATGGGGGGGGAGGGGAATCCCAAGGACCACCAGCGCTTTTGGCTATGGGACTCTTCCTCAGTTGGGACCAGCAGCAGGAGAAAGCTAGAATCCTCCAGGGCGAACTCAGCTTGCTTGCTTTCAGCTTCTCACCTGTAGCGGCAGCTGATCGGCCAAGAAAGACCCAAGTAGGTTCAGGGAGTCGCCTCCGAGCCACCCCAGGAGGAAGTAGATGGACAGCGCCTGGTCCATAATGCCCGTTTTACAGGCCAGGTAGAACTGACTGCGTGGAAAGGTGGAGGAAGAAACAGTTTAAGAGGAAGCCCATGGTCACCCCTGACCAGTAAATTATACCATTGATTGTGGGCTGGGGGCGATGTGGGCTGGGTGCGATGGGAAATGGAGTCCAGCGTCTTCGGACAAGGGAAGGTCTCCTCTGCAAAGGATGAAATTAAACCACCCCAAAAAGATGTCATGGAGAAATGTTATTTTTGCAGCTTGGTGGTGCATTGAGGGTGGAGGTGATGTTTCAAAAGCCTCCAACCACCAGGCGTGGCAGGACACCCAACCGCATTCCCTTCGTGCTGATCCCAGGAAGTGAGTCACCTCCTCCATTTCGCCAGATTAGCAGCCACGCGCTTGTCCGTCGAGCCGGGCCAGGGAGGAAGGGGCCGCTGGCCCCGCTAGAAGAGCTCCCAGATGCGGGCTGAGGACCCCCTCCTTGACTTACGGGAAGGAAGCCGCAGCAAAGCAGACGATAGAAACCAGGCCCAGCACCACGCTGGCGACGTCCCGGCCATCCTGAGCACACTCGTGAAAGACGGTCAGGATCCACTCGGAGCCGTTGATGCAGTCGGAGGAATTCCCGCTGGGAAAGCTGGTCTTGTGGGGACGGGCGAACATGGCGGCCCCGGAGGCCTTTCCGAAGGCAGGGGACGACGCTCTGGAAGTCAGTGGAAATGCAAAAAACACCTGTCCATTGTGAACTGGGAACCTGCAGAGGAAGAAGAGGAGACCTGACTCTCTGAGGAGAAAGGTGAAGGACAGAAAAAAGGTACAGGAAGTGGAGGTGAAAAGAAAGCTTGAGAAACACGGATTTTCCTTCCAGGCTTTTCCCCAGGATAGTTCAGCCTCTCTCGGAATGGAGCTTTGCATTAAGAAAATAATAGTTCTTAGTTTGGGTACCGTGAAGGCTAAGGGGCTTGCCTCCAGCCTCTGTTCCTAGCTGGAAAGTTGACCGGTATTTAAAAGACCACCCAACCGAGTGTCTGATCTTCATTAGAACCCATGGAACCCCCTGTTCAGTGGCACTGTACCTGAGGCTAGGCTGAACGACTGCTGCTAAGTTTCACAAGGGAGGGAAATCCCCAGCCTTTGCTGGAAAATGGGCTGGTTTGGGGGGGGGGCTTGTTGTGACTCAGCTGGATGTTCTCATGTGACCCAAGCAGCTGACCTGGGGGCTGCAGTCAAAGCTTATCAGCACCTTTTAGGTGGAAACAGCTTGGCAAGCGGGGGGGGGGGGCCTCGGCCCCGCCCCGAAACAACTGTTCCGGTAGAACACACCCCCCACTTTCTCTACAGGGGAAAGG